TACTACATAATATGTACCTGTGTATCCGTCCAATGCAGCACCAGACGGTATCTAGGTAGAATGTCCTTTCTGTTATTGATCATATCCAAGGTGTACTCGAACACGGGGATTATCGTCTGACCTCCCGCCCACGCTCCCGACATCGGGAAGAATCCTCCTAGGAAGAGGTCGATGACGCCATCCGGCGGCGGAACATTGTCGTAGAACTTAAAGATCTCGGAGTCGACGGCTGCCGACGACATGACGCAGGCAGAAAGGACGACGAGACGCAGCGTCAGTCGCTGCGTCAGGCCTGCGTCGCGCATCGCGATTCGTTTTCTGATACGAAATAAGACTAGATACGAACTAGAATACAAAATAAGACTAGATACGAACTAGAATACGAAATAAGACTAGATACAAACTAGAATACGATATAAGACTAGATACAAACTATAATAGAGAGCTGATCTTGCCGTCTAGTTTCTTGTGATTTCCCGGTGTGGGTATCTCTGTTTAAGCTCAGACAAAAACTGTGGCAAAGCCGAGAGTGTACGGAATCGCTGCTAGATGAGGAACTCTTTCCCTGCATTATGATAAGCTCTCACTGAAGTTGCTACTTTATATGTTTAACCCTTTATTTTAGACATTCGCCACGCGTGCGCAGAGTTGAACGCGTCGCGCGGTGGAAACCGCGTATTGAAGTCGCATTAGTTCCCCATGCCGTTACTAGGTGGCGCGCATCTTTATTGATCTGCTCGTAGTTTCTATTTTAGTTTTCAGATCAGGAGTATCATAATATTATAGATATAATATAATATATGATATAATATAATGTATACAAAATATACAGATATCTATATTATAACACTTCTGGTCAGATATATACATGCGATCATTGAGGCAGTGTCATAGCGGATACAACCGGGCCGGCTGGATGATCAGAAGTGATTTAACGTCGCGGTGCGATCAGGTATAAATAATAGCCCAATGTTACGACTATTATTTTCTTCTGGTATCTGTATATGCGTTTCCAATAAACACGTTTACTTCACATTGACTCTGCATATGGAGAGAAAACAAAGCCAGTGTGCGTGTGTGAGAGAGAGAGAGAGAGAGAGAGAG